AACCTCACCATTCTCGTCAGGAGGATATCAAATGAGAATAAAAAGTAAGTGTAACTAAAACACAGAATCAAATATACTGAAAATTATGTTATCCTTGAATTCATGATATCTACACTGGAGGAGGACGAACTGAGAAGAGCTACCTAAAAGTTGAACTTTGAAAATGGATTTTAATGAACTTCAAAGGAAGATAGATCAGATCCATTGGCTTGAATTCCTTGAAAGAAAAATGCAGGAAGACGGGAAAATCTATAAAACAATTCTCATAACAGAAAAACAGGATAAATTCAAAGGTACCACTGTGTACATGTGCAGTTTCTCTAAAATACTTCAGAGAAAAAGCAAAATTTACAGAAAATGGAAGAAAGAAAATATAACCAAAGAGGTAGGATGTCAAGAAACTGTAGGAACTAAAGGCTAAAGTTCAGAATGTGGTGAAGCTTGCTAGAGATAGCAAAAAGAATAAAAAGATTCTTTATGTACATTAGAAATGAAAGTAAAACAAGGCACTTCTGAAGAAAAAGTGGTGAAGCAGTAATGGACAATGGTGAGAAGGCAGAATTTCTCCTATTTTGTAACTATTTTCCCCTCTGAAGATAAATAGAGCCCTAGCTGGTCATTATACTGCAGAGGAATGAGAAAAGGGTAATTTAGGATAGACAAGAAAAGAGAACTTAGCTACAAGTAGATCTCGCTTACTGACTGCCTCATTTGGTGTTCACTCAGTTTCCATGGTGCAAAATGAATAACTGATCAATGCAAATTTATGATCTTCAGCATGTCCCTCAGTCATTCAATTATCATTACAGTCTATATACATTATCCTGTGCCTGACCTGTTGCTTCCCTCCCCCTTGCAGAGCAGAAAGATTGGAGAGAAAGAGATTACAAGAGTTAGCAAGAAAACATCAGCAAGAGAGTAAGCAGGGGAATACATCAGCTGTTTGGGTAGAACACTTGCGACTCCCAGTTCCAAGTGTGCTCTGGAATGCCAGTTATTTTGATGTGTATTCCCCAATGTGAGCCTGCTTACTCTCATGTAATCCCTTTCTCCAACAAATGTAAACACAATATTAATTCCGTTCTTGCTAGTTATCCCAGTACCAGCATAAGCATTCCAAAGGGTGGGAAATGGACAAAAGGAAAGCAGAGTCATTGTGCTGGAATCTCCAACTAGACTGGAGGGAGAGATTAAGAAGTTGCTGAGCTTAGACTCCCTGCATTGCAAAAAAGGGCACAGGTCTGAGCTCCCCCAGAATTTCTGAAACTTCATCTGACTGTTCCCAAGGAAATATCACATAGGTGATTAAAATAAACCTTCTGCTTGAGATTATTCACAAGTTGCTTGTGCCTGACATTCACAGTCATGTGATTTCCCACTTAATGATTGCTTGCCTAAAAACAGAGAAGCTGGTCCAAATTGTGGTTGCTAAATGAGGTCTGTGTGTAATTTAAAAAAATTCAGAACCAGTTGACTTACATTCTACAGCACTGTAGTGTACAAACTTGCAGACGTGATTGCAGTACCAATCTTAGTAATCTTGAAAAACTTCAAAAGGTTATATGAAATCCTAGAACACTGGAGGAGGCAACCCATCTTCAGAAGAAGGATTTGAAAACTACAGATTTGATAGCATGACATCTACAGTAGGCAAGGACTTTGACCAGATTGTCAAACAGCATGTTGATAAGTGCTTGGATATTTTCATGCTAAAATTAATAGGCACCAGCAAGACAGCACAAACTTTCTTGCAAATAGATTGTCCAACTTCGTCTCCTTTGATAGAATTGCTGTACTTAATAAGTGTAATCAGGGTAATTCCCTAAATCTATTACACTCAAAAGTACATATGTTTGTTACAGAGCCATGCATATTGTCCTATTTTGGTTTATTACAAATTAGACTCATTTTTAAATTACTGAATTCTAAAAAGCAGCTTCATTATTCTAAAAATTAATAAGTAATATAGAGCTTTCAAAAAATGCAAAAACACTCTATACTATAAAAAGGAAAAGGCCAGCATATAGTGGAGTTCAATGACTAAAGGAATGGTGAAAAGCGAAAGGCTTTGGTTATATTAGTCACAACATCTGCAGCTAGTCTGATAAAAAAAACTACAAAAGAGATGGTTTGCATCCATCAAAGAAAGGGATTGAGTAACTTGGCATTAAATTTACGGATTTTCTGGAGAAACATTTTAACTAAACAATGGGGACAAATAGTTGATTGATACAGAACATTTCTGTCCCCAGCAATCTAAAACTAATAGGGTTATCAGTACTTGTAACATGCTGTAGATGTTTGTGTGCATAAGAATCTCAACCTTGCTGTTAAGGAAAATCAAACTTTTGATAGCGTGTGCCATTTTGATAGTGTGTGCCATATCATGTGCACTAATCAAACTGGTGGTAAGGAAGTAGAACTGGGGCACAAAACAGATTATATAGAAAGTAAACACAGGGTCAGTCAAAAAGGACTCAAATGTCTATATACCAATGCACAAGAGTATGAGGAATAAACAGGATGAATTAGAAAATCAAGAAAATGAAGGGCAGATGTGATATTGTTGCCATTATGGAAACTTGGTGATATGAAACCCACAAATGGAATATACAGCTAGAGGGATTTAAATTATTTTTTAAAAAAACAGACCAAATAAAAGAGGAGATGGAGTTGCACTATATATAAGAAATAACTACATCACTATAGAAATAGAGCACAATGATGAAAACTGTCTTGAATACATTTGGGTCAATATAAAAGGGGGGAAGACATTTCCATAGGTGTATACAATAGGCCACCCAACCAAACAGGAACCAAGCGGAAGATCAAACAGGTTCCTGACAAACCTAGCAGGCAACTTTGTTTCCCAAAAGGTAGAGAAGGGAAATAGGTAATCAGCCATATTGGGCTTAATTCTCACTAGCAGAGATGAAATGATAGAAAGTATTTAAGCTACAGGAACCTTGGGGGGAGTGATCATGCAATATTGAAATTCAACATTATGCAATATTGGAATTCAAGCATTAGAATAAAGTCAAACTAGAGTCTTGGACTTTAAGAGAGCTAATTTCAATAAACTTAGAACTTGGGAAGGATTCTATGGATGCAAATCCTCAAAGGGAAAACAACCCAAGAAACTTGGGAAACTTTGGAAAGTGAGATTATAAAAGCTCAGTCTAGCACAATACCAATGAAGAAGAAAAATAACAGGTCTCAAAAAAACACAGCATGGCTGCATAAAGAACTCTCTGCTACATTAAAAGACAAAAAGGACAAGTATAAAAAGTGGAAACGGGGGCACATAACTAAGGCAGAATGTCAGCAAATAGCCCAAGCCTGCAAAGGTGAAGTGAGGAAAGCGAAGGCTCAAAATGAACTAAGGCTTGTGACAAAAGTCAAAAATAACAGTGAACGAGTGGTCCATTAATGGGAGAAAGTGGCAAGAAGGTGATAAGCAACAGGGAGAAAACAGAACTGCTTAACTGCTCATTTTTTGCATCCCTCTTAGGCAAAAGGAAAAAACAGTCCAACTTATCAAAAACAGTACTATAAAAAACAGATTAGGAATACAAGTTAAAATAGACAAGAAAATGGTAAGTAAGCACATGTCCACCTTAGACAAGTTCAAATCACCAGGACCAGATGGATTACCCACCAAGGTTCTGAAGGAACTGGCAGACGCTATCTCAGAACCACTGAACTATATCTTTCAAAGATCCTGGAGCACCGGGGAACTACCAGAGGACTTGAAAAGAGCTGATGTAGTTCACATCTTCAAAAAAGAAAAAAAATAGATCCAGGAAATTACAGACCTATCAGCCTAACGTCAATACCTGGGAAGATTCTGGAAAAGGTAATCAAGCAATGAATCAGCAAAGTCATAACCAAAGGCCAACATGGGTTTGTCAAAAACAGATCTCATGCCAGACAAATCTTATTGCGTTCTTTGACAAAGTGACAAAATTAGTGGACCAAAGGAATGCGGTGGATATAATTAGTTGGGCTTCAGTAAGGCATTTGATAAAGTAGATCACAACCTACTATTTGATAAGATAGAAAAATGTGGGTTAGGCAGCATCATCAACAGATGGATTTGTAATTGGCTGGCCAACGTGTAGTCCTCAATGGAACTTTATCCACATGGAGGGAAGTATGCAATGGGGTACCCCAAGGCTCTGTTTTAGGCCCAGTACTCTTCAATATCTTCATCAATCATTTGGATGAAGAACTCATTAAATTTGCAGACAACACCAAGCTGGCAGGAATAACCAACACTCCAGAAGATAGGCTTAAGATACAGAAGAATCTTGATATACTTGAACATTGGACGCTATTTAACAAAATGAAATTCAGTGGTGAAAAAAGCAAGGTTCTACATTTAGGCAAAAAAACCCAAATGCACAGGTATAGTATAGATGGTACCTGGCTCAATAGTCATAACTGTGAGAGGGATCTTGAAGTTCTAATAGACAATCACTTAAATATGAGCCAGCAGTGTGTTGCAGTTGCCAAAAAAGCTAACAGAGAGGGATAGAATCAAGATCATGTGAGGTGTTAATACCATTTTATAATGTCTTGGTAAGACCACACTTGGAGAGAAGCGATCTAGAACTAAGGAAAAATTTCCTGATCAGTGGAACAATGTGCCTCCAGAAGTTGTGATTGCTCCAACACTGGAAGTTCTTAAGAAGAGATTGAATAGCCATTTGTATGAAATGGTATATTGTTTCCTGCCTGAGCAGGAGGTTGGACTAGAAGACTTCCAAGGTGCCTTCTAACTATTATTCTGTTCTGCTCTGTTAGTACTGTAAATGCCATAGAAAAATCCTTCTCTGTGTTCATATTTTTTATAATAGCTTCACCATGCATATTAGGGAAGTGCATTGTTTAATACACAGATAAATAATATCTGTCATCCTGGAAGAGGGTTTGTTGCTCCTTTTGGTGTACTTGATGGTAGAGTCTTACCATTATTTTTCCTGTTTCTGATTTTCCAGGTTGCATTCACTTCGCTCTCTTAGCCTCCACAATAACTTACTGACATATCTTCCTCGGGAGATCCTCAATCTAGTTCAGCTTGAAGAACTGAGTTTGCGTGGGAATCCTTTGGTTGTGAGGTTTGTCCGTGAACTGACCTACAATCCTCCAAGCCTCCAAGAACTGGCTGGACGCACTATCAAAACTCGCAATATTCCTTATGTTGCTAGTGATCTCCCTGGAAATCTCCTTCGATATTTGACTCTGGCCAGCAATTGTCCTAATCCTAAGTGTGGAGGTACATTATTTTCTCTGCTTTTAAGAGAAAATTAAGTTTAGAAATCAATAGCACTTTTTTCAAGACATTTGGGAAACTATTTTAATGTTTTTTTCCTTAAATGCTAGGCTTAAAATAAAAAAAAACTCATCAGTAATTTTTATTTTTATTAAAAAAATTAAAATACAAAGCACAAAAAATTAACAAGAATAAACAAAAAACAAAATATTTTAAAAGTGCATTAAAAAAAGACACAAACACATATACATATATTATTCCCCTTATTGAACACTGATAAATATATTGCAACAATATTAGTTTCCCACCCCTTGTAAAACAGGCCCCAAACATTTTTAAACTTCTAATTCTATTTGCAAATTATTAACCTGTTATCTATCTATCTATATTAATGGCAAAATAGTTAACAGGTAGAAAAGTGATGGCGAACCTTTTAGAGACCAAGTGCCTAAACTGCAACCCAAAACCCACTTATTTATCGCCGGGTGGCAGGTGGGCGTGGCCCACTGGGTGGGTGTGGCTGTGGTGTTCATGGCAGACTGGGTGGGTGTGGCCAAGGCGGGCATGGTCACCTCAATGTTGCTCATGGGGAGGGATGCCTGTGGGGGCCGGGCAGGATTGGGGGAGATCCAGGGGGGTCTCTGGCAGGTGGGGCAGTGGGCAGGAGGCTTGTACTGTGGGGTGAGGCAGGGTGGGGCGAGGGTGCCATTGTCACAGGGCAAAGTGAGGCAGGGGCCAGGGAGGCTGCTGCCTCATACCATCGGCCCCCGCACACAGGCCAGTGACTGCATGGGGGCGACAGTGTCCATCAGCAGCCACAGCCTGCTGGCCCCTCGACTGGCGCACTCTGGGCTCTGCAGCCCACCACCAGCAGTTACAGAGAATCTGCTTCTTGAGCTGGACGGCCTGCCGACAGCTGAGGAGGCGATGCAGTGGGAAAAGGAGAGCATGCAAGGCCAGGAGGGATGGGACGGGGGGGAGGGAAACCAGTTGTGCTGGGATGCATCCAGCCACATGGGACCTCGGCAAGTTAGCGGGCGGCTGGTTGAAGAGGGACGGTGGCCATCTCTGGGGCATGGTGCATGTGCCCACAGGTAAGGTGACCAACTTTTTTACAATGAAAAGGAGGACACAAATAAATTGAAGAAAAAATATCGTAAATAAAAGAAACTTTTATTCATTTCAACAATAATACAGACAACTTGCACGTGCAAAGTTTGCTAGCCAGGTGTTTTGGCGTGCTTAGCAGCAATTCCTATTGGCTTTCGAAAGCCAATAGTGGGAGTAGCACAGCTCATGCAAAATTTGAAAAAAAAAAAACATCAAAAAAAGGTGCCGGAATGCCGTTCTGAGCGTTCTATGAGGGGAAAAAAAGCCCTGCAGATTAGTCTTCAAATATCGAAAAGGAGGGCATGAAGGAGGACACTTTTTGAGGGAGGACAGAACTTACAAAAGGAGGACTGTCCTCCCTAAAGGAGGACGGTTGGTCACCTTACCACAGGGAGGGCTCTGAGTGCCACCTCTGGCACGCGTGCCATAGGTTCGCCACCACTGAGGTAGAACAACAACAAAAACGAGTAAAATTTCAAAACCCTCTTGTTAACAAACTATTATTGCATTCAATTTGTAGAAAGTTTACCACAGCTTCTTATCTATCCCAAATAATCCCAATAGATAATTCTGATTCGTCCTGGATCAAATATCCATGTTTGTTTCTTAATACCATCTCTTATCAATTGTTGTCCAGTTTAATATAATAAATCCATTCTCCAAAGTCGATCTACCTTCCCCCAAAAGTCCAGATGAAATTGTTTTCCAGGTTGACTATGATAAATCCATTCCCAATCTCCTTCAATCTTCTTAGGGGAAACCAATTGATCACATACCCTTTCAATTAGTTTTCTGCTGTTGTAAAGGAATGCAACCCTGAACTTCTGGAAGGCATGTGCAATCCTCTCAGTTAGTTCTAAGTCTGTAAGATCCATATTTCTTTTAGTGCCCTTCACCGAATCTACCACTTTCAAATCAAATTTCTTTTATGAACATGATTTAACAACAGTTACTTGCATCGGGGCATTTTTTGTAACCATTATTATTTTGTCAAACATTTTAAAAAAGTTTTCAACATGGGTTTGTATATTACCAAATAGTCTTTTTTTCAAATGCCTATAATCTGATACAATGTGGTCTTGTAACCTAGCAATGAGAGATAAAACTCCTCAGAGAGAGGGAACAAAGTACATTGAAGTAATATTCCTCAGAGTGAGAAAATGGAGAGACAATATTTTTGGATATTTCGATCGAAGATAATAAAAAATAAAAAAATAACCTCCCGACTATTTGCAAGCTAATAAAAGACAAAATCCCTGTAGTGAAAATCCAATATAAATGTAAAACAAGTCCAAACACTTTCACTACTCAGAAACATGCCGTGACTTTCTTACAGAGAGGCAAGAGTTATTCAAAACAGTCAAAAAGATCAAAGGTAAAGGACAAAAAAACCCACAGATAAAGCAGAAGTTTAAAATAAATCAGCATTCAACCAGCCGGTTAACATTTAGACATAAAAAGCAAATCAGAAGAGAAACTTTAAAAAGTGTAATTAAAACCCAGGCTTGCTTACAAGAACGATCATCCTGCCATAAGGATATTAGTTCTGGGTGAAAATGCCAATTTTTATAATTTGTGTTCCAGTTACTTAGAACTGTCAGATTCCAGACATTTTATTAAAAGGTATATGCCTTTTAATAAAACTTGTTAGTCAGAAAAAATGCTGTGGAACTCCAATTTTTTTTTTGTCACAATAAACATGTTCCCTACATTGAACTCAATGGTATTTATTTCTAAATAAAAGTGAATAGATTTTTATTCTCTATACCTCAACCCAATCTAAAACACTGATGTCCAATTTAATTTTTGCACCTTCCAAAGAATTGTGTAGCTGGATTGGAATAAGTTCCATCTACTCTATTGATATGTTTAAAGAGCTGATAGCCAACAGCTATATAACCAACCAACCAGCCCCTCAAACAAGAGACAGTGGTACCATTGACTTGATTTAGTTTAGCAGCTGTCATAAACTAAGGACCTAATGACTTAAAACACATGGAAAATGATGTATGTACATGTTTATACAACAACTGCAAACACTACTTTAAAAACATCCTTTCTTCTCTCTTTAGGAGTCTACTTTGACAGCTGTGTCCGCCAAATAAAATTTGTCGATTTCTGTGGGAAGTACCGTGTTCCACTGATGCACTACCTTTGTTCCCCTGAGTGTTCTTCCCCTTTCAGTTCTGCATCTCAGAGTTCTAATTCCCAGAGTGAATCTGATTCAGAAGATGAAGCCATTGTTGCTGCACGCAGAATGCAAAAGGTTCTTTTGGGATAGGAAGAAAAGATAATACAAGAAGCAAGTGCCTGATGTCCTTTGGAATGGGCTTGCCTATATTATATTATTCACTGAAAATGCACCTGTAGAATTATCCATGAGAAAGCCACTAAATGCCTTAGAGGGAAATTAGTGTAAAGACATCTTACAGCTTGCTACCTGGAAGGACACTCTTAAAGCTTGAGATGTTTCAGGAATTCTTGGCACTGGTGACTTGTTAGAGATGTTTTAAACCAGGGGTGTCAAACTGCCAGCCTCTAGGCCAGATGCGTCATGCCGAAACTGCGCCTACCCCATTGCCGGCAATGGAAAAAAATTGCGATATGTCGCGACACGTCATGTGACATTGCAAGTTTGATACTCCTGTTTTAAACTTCAGTTCTGAGACTGACTTTAAGGTGGATTTTCTTTAATCACTGTGATAACATGCTTATCTAAGAATACAGAGTAGGAGTTCTTTAGTAATGTGTTTAGCAACTGTTGTACTTGAATATTGTTCTTCCCATAAAGCTGCTTGGGCTTTATATATTTATTTTTTAGCAAAATTCCTCCAAAACGCACAAATATCAAAATGTGTTACTTCCTTCTTATTTGGTTTCACTGCCTATGATCAAATGCTATGCTATAATAGCGTTAATGTGCCTTTCCATATTTTTATACCAGCTTCATTTTTCTGTCCTTCAGTGCATTGTTAAATCATACCTCCAAACATTTGGCAGCAAAATTATTGCTTTTTGGTAGCACTTTTCCTATTTTTTTGACCCAAGAACTGAAATAGGTATATTAATGCAGGGCAAAAGACAGACAGAAAAATTGTATTTTGTCAGGTAAATTGCCCCAGTTTCCTCCACAGGGGCTAAATTCACTCGGCTGCTGCAGTGCTCCCTATGGCTTGTGCTCTTGAAAGTTGTGGTTCACCAGAATTGGGAGTTTCTAATTTCTGTGTTATGCTATAGTGCATCACTAGTGCCTTCCTTGGGTTTTCTTCTTGAAGACTACCATTTTCTAACTTGTGAGAAATATAAAGAATTCACTGTTCAAATTCATTTAAAGCAAAATTGCATTTTTTTACATATACCTTGGTGCCATTATTTGCCACCTTTTATGTTATGGGTAGCATTCTATCATATATAATTATCTGTACATGTATCCATATATTTAACATAATATAACTTTATTTTGTAAAAAGTCAGACATTTTTACCAATCCGTTTATTTCTTCTATTCCCTTTATTGCAAAGTTACTTACATTATATCCTTCCTCTCTTCCCTTGTTCATACTCAAATTTGATCTTATCATACATGCATTGCCTTTTTGTAAGACTTTGACCCAAACTTCCTGCCTCTTACATTTCTAAGCATGTTGAATTGTTGAAGATACCTCATATATTTAGGGATACTTCTAGTCTCTACAAAAGATAAATATTCACAGAGGAGTTGCTTTTTATTAGACATCACTAAGTTTATCAGTGACAGTACGTTGGTGAACTTAGGCAATCATTTTTTAGCACACAACAGTCGCACTATCAGACAGTTGTGACTCCCCTTTTCATACAATAGATATGCTCTTCTCTACAGATTTGTGGTTTAATCTTTGTTTTTTTTTTTTGAAGCGGTGTTTCCTTTGCAGACTGAATGAGTATTATCAATAGTAATCCCATGTTGAGTGCTGAGTAAAAGTAATACTTTTGCAATGAACAGCCTCTTTTCTGAATCATGTTAGGAATGCTCTCAGCTACATAGAAGGCTATATGTATAAGTGAGAAGAAGGGAATCTCACATAGAAAAATCCCTCCATTTTAGGGAGAAAGGAATGCAGTATTATTAACTGGGATCTTTGCAAGATTTGTGAAAGAAATTGGGAGCTACAGCTACTTCTACTTTTCCATTGTGGCTTCTGCCTCCAGTGAAAGATTATCAGTTTGATAGGGTTGGTTTGTGGACATTGCATGAATACATATGTATCATTTACTCCCATGTCTTTGAAATATATATATATATATATATATATATATATGTAGGTCTTTGGTTGTTCGGGTTTTATCCCGCGTAAAATTGGAAGTGTCTTGGCGACGTTTCGACGAAGTCCCATTCGTCATCTTCAGGCTGGTGTTTTCAGCTTCGTGCTTCGAGCAGCAATGTGTGGTCTTAGCTGTTTCTTCCTTTTAACTGCCAGTGGGGGTATGAGCTGATTGGGTGGGAGCTTGGCTGTGTTCTGATTGGGTGGAGGTGTGTTCTGATTGGTTAGGGGCTTGGCTGTGCTCTGATTGGCTGGGGGGTTGGCTGTTGGCTGTGCTCTGATTGGCTGGGGGAGTGTTCTGTTTGGTTGTGCTCAGGTTAGTCTGAGTTGCAGGGGGGTTTAAGATTTTGGGCTGCCTTGCTATTTTTTGGCTTCACGTTCGTGGTCGTGCCTGATCTTCATGGAGGGTGTCAGTTTGCTTCATGTATGGATTGGAGGGGTTTAAAGTGGCTAATGATGCAGCTGTGGTCTGGCTTCTGGTTTGTGGTCGTGCCTCATCATCGGTGTGGCTTTGGGTTTGCTTTTTGTGTGGATGTGTGGTGGTGACATCCTGTGTAGTTTTTGTGAGTGTGGGTCTGGTATCATTTTTTGTGTTAGGGAGTCGTTTGTCAACAAGGGCGGGTTTCCAAATGGCTGGTAGGCGGCTTCGTGCTCCTAGAAGCACGAAGCCAAAAGCACCAGCCTGAAGATGACGAATGAGACTTTGTCGAAACGTCGCCAAGACACTTCCAATTTTACGTGGGAGAAAACCCGAATAACCAAAGACCTACATACAAACACCCGCGAAAACCTCAGAAAACATACACATATATATATATATATATATATATATATATATATATAGAGAGAGAGAGAGAGAGAGAGAGAGAGAGAGAGAGAGAGAGAGAGAGAGAGAGAGAGAGAGAGAGAGAGAGAGAGAAATCTTATGGAGTGGATATGGTATGCATCCTTGGCCAGAATCCCCTATCAGATTAATTTATATTTAGATTCAGATGTCATTGAACTCTTGTTTCTACCAACCTCAGCCAACTGCAATACAATAGTGTATTGCAAGTTCTTCAGCATCTAGAGAACAAGGATAATCTGAAATAACTTTCACAAAGAATGCCTTTATAAGTGTTCAAGAAATGCTGCTTTTAACAGTAATATATATTCTTTCCCATATTCCCTTGTTAATATAAGCTAATTTACTAAAATTATCAATAGAAAAAATCCTTTTTTATCATAACATGAAATTAATATTGCAACTTCAATTTAGAATTAACTCCTATATATTCACTAAGTCTGGAAATAGATTTATACAGAGTGTTTTTAGACCTGAACTGGATTATTATTTCATTTTAGCATTATAATTGCAACTGATGCATGTAAGCTTATATTCATTCAATCTGCAATTTCCATCTTGAGAAATAGTCTCATCTTTCCTCTAAATGTTTTATGTCATATCAACCCAATTCATGATTTTGGAGAACTTAAAATGTTTGTAAATTATTTGATGACATTTACGTTGGTTCTAATTAAGGTACAATCTAACTGAATGTTTGTTACTGTTTTTCTTAGGTATAAGATCTCTATTTTCTCTGTTAATTTATTAATGATTTATATGCTTAATTGAATCTTGATACTATTTGATGTCAGTCCTATACAGGTAAAACTTAATATTGATTCTTGTTTAATCTGGCATTTTTGATAATATGCTTAGGCAATATACATTTTCTGGTTTTTCCATGGATTGATCTTATTCTAAACTGTGATTCAAAATATTGTTTGTACATGTGCTCCACTCACAGGCTTGCAAGTTTTCATTAAAGCATTATTTAGATTTTGTTTTGATTCTTTCTTTCCATGGCATAAACAAATGCCAAGTCTGAATGTCCTTAATGTCCTCATTTCTGTGGCTGTGTATTCTTCCAATCATTTCTTTATCCATTAATGCCAGAGGGAAAGTTTATAAATTAAAAATTAGCAGTTTAGGATCTGTACAGAAAGTTTGGAGACAATATCTGAAGCAATTTGCATAGTTTTTGTATATTTATATTTCTCACTAGTTAAACTTTAAACAGTTTTCTTGTTGAATATTTTAATACGCTTTGCTTGATGCTTATCACTCTTTCTCAAAGAAAGTTGAGTAGTTTTTCTGATTTCTTAAATTTGTAAAATAGTTTAGATTTCTTGCCAAATAATATCTTTGTCTTTTAATTTATATTTTATTTAGGATTATAGATCAAAGATATTTAACCAACAATGGGAAATAATCATTTTTATCATGTTGTCTTTTTAACAGTCATCAATGGGCTTTTTGGTGAAAAGAGTATTGATGTTCAGACAGATGTTTATAGTATAATAATAAAGTTTATATCTTAGAAACTGCCAATAAGGAACATTCATATTTGTATAGCAACTTGGTTGAATCTAAAAAAAAGTCACATACATGGTATAGAAAGAGAAATTTAGAACACATATTTAGGAGACATGGTTTCAATAATCTTAGACAAGATCTAGGCAATATGTCAGGAGAAAAGGAATGCAGGAGGGATGGAAACTTACACAAAATAACATATTGAAAATATACTCACATACCATTCCTTTTAAAAAAAATGGAAGGCTGCTTAGGACACTTGAGTTGAAAAAAGAGACTGCTATAATAAATATTAGCAAACAGAAAATAAACTGCAAAAAATAACTAAACGGTGAAAAGAGGCTAGGGTGGCAAGGGAAATTAAAAGCATTGAAAGGATCCCTTTTTTGCTATACCAGTCAAAAAAGAGGTGATTTACTTCTAGGAAATTATGTTTGGTTAGCAACAGGTGACAGGGAGAAGAGACACTTCCTTTGCAGATAGGCCTCCAGCATAGCAACTAACGAAAGGAGAGAAGAAAACAACCCAAGGCAGGTTGGAGTAGATAGGGAAAATTTGGCTAATATGAATCAGTTACAGGTCAATTACAGAAACTTGAAGGGGTTTGTGATGGCATCTTGGAGCCCCTTTCTGTAGTTATAGTGCCTGAAGAACTGAGAAATGCAAATGTGGAAAGGGGGGGGAGTAAATGGTAGACTAATTAACTTGACACATGCTAGCAAAACGTGGAACAATTTATAGGTAGTCGTCAACTTATAACCACACTTGGGACTGAATTTCTGTTGCTAAATAAGCGATCCCCAATCTTTCCAGCTGTCTGGACCAGCGGCAGCAGCTGTGAGGGAAAAGGGGATGGTTTCAGCTGTGCACGCTGCTTGCGCAAATGCAGCTTTGCATGCTCGCCTGCCACTTCCAAGGCCTGGTTCCCAATGAGTTGCAGCCGTTGTACCTGATCTTATCATCCTTTTGGACATGGTGATTAAGTGAATCATTAAGTAACTATGGTCACTAAGCAAATCCAGCTTCCCCATTAATTTTGCATGCTGGAAGCCTCCAGAAGTTCATAAATGACGATGACATAATCCTGGGATGCTGCAACTCTTGTAAACACATGCCAATTGCCAAGTTGATTGTGTGACAGTTGTAAATGCAAGGACTAGTCAAAGATCACTTTTTTCAGTCTTCATAACTTCAACTTTAATGGATGGTTATAAGTCAAGAACTTGTATAAAGCAATTGGTTTATAAACATTTAGAAAATACATAGAAGGTAATAATGAAAATAATGAATTTATGTAAAATAATGCCAAACTAACCTGAGCATTTTGATATAGAGAACAATTTAGTTGACTTTGGGAATACAATAGGCATGGAGTGCGCATAGATTTACTTTGGTAGGAAAAAATAATCAAAGAGGCTCCATTTTAACCAAGTCATTGATTAATATGACTACAGTATATATATATATCCAGTTAGAGTTTGTAACCAACCCCCTTTTTTCTTGCAATAAACTTAACTAATGATCCTTACAAGAATCTAGCTTTTATGGTTGTGAGCAAGAGGCTCAACAATGGTCTTATTGAATGTCTTCCAGCCTTGGGTTTATTTTCCAATATCCTTTTGACACTGGCCTGGTTGTGAATGTTATATCTATTTGCTTTGGCAGAATATTGCAGTCAGTTTCCATGCAGTGTGCTACACCAGTTTCAGCATGCTGTTGACAATCAGCTGTTTAGCGGAGCGCCACAGCTCCTCACTTTCCTTCCAGCTGGCGATGACTTGGGCTGTCTGGGCTTACCAGGCAGCCTTTCTTCCATCCTTTTGGAAGGTTTCTTCAATCCGTCTGGACCAATTGCCGTTTGGTCCGGACTTGCAAAGCATCCCTCCTTCTTTGTTATCCCTCCAGGGAACTTTCCGACCCCTTGGGGTTGCCAGGCAGAATGAAATCGAGCTAAGAAACTGGAGCCCTGGCTTCTTCCACCCGTCTCATCAAACGCCAACTGGAAGTCTGGGACCAAAAGTGTTTTTAAGACCTTTTTATTTTTTTTATTTTTCTACAGAAAAAGACTTGAAAAGTTTAACAATATAAGTTTTGGATCTAAAAACTGAAAAGTGGCATTGATGACATCTAGTGGTGAATTACAGCACTACAACATATTTATGCCTAAAAGAAACCTGGCTTGAAGCCCAGACCTAGATAAGATTTTGGCTGGCCTTGGAACTATTTTATTATTGAGAATTACAATTGA